GAGTATGAATGGAAGGTCATGCTGTTTGGTGCAGTACCAGAAATTTTGACTCTAAACTGGGGAAGCATTCTTTGGCAATGGCAGAGGAGGAAAGTGCTTAGATAGGCACAAATAAATCACAAGGTAATTCAGGATGAGATGCTGTTACTATGAAGAAAAGGCAAATACAGATCTGGAAAGACCAGAAGAAGGGATTTCTTGGTGAGAGAAAATTGGCTCTGCAGGAGGCAATGGTGAGCCTTTTTTCCTCGTTCACAAAAAGTAAACTTGGAGTAAATAGGGACAGAGGGAGCTACTACACTTCTGGGAAATTTCCCAGTTTTCATATGGGAATTGAACAGCCTGTTTTGGTAGAAGGAAGAAGATGTGGCTTGTTTAGCTTGATAGAAAGAAGAGATAGAGTTGCTCTCTCTGTATGTATTAAGAATAAGCAGGAGCTAAGAGCTGTTTAAAATTTCAAGTTGGTCTAAGGCTACCTGGATGTAAAGGAGCTGTGAGTCAGTCTCTTGAACACAAAAAGATGAGGGTGCTCAGCCCTCCCTTTTGTTGCAGTGTTATTTCCTAGGGGTGCAGGTGGGACAGGGCAGTCTGCGGGATGCTGCCATGTCCCAGCAGATGGACTGAGAGAGGAGGGGGCAACAGGTCCTGAACAAGGGGATGTGCACAGGGAGATGAAGCTGCAGCTCAGGGGTGGCCATGAAACACCCAGTGAGTGTGGTCACCATGGCAGGACCAGAGCAAGGGCATGGACTAGGCAGAATTGTGAAGAATAAGGAGCTCTGGAGACAAGGCAGTGAGGGTTAAAGTCAGAGGCAAATTAGTGCTGGTGGAGACTGGAAACTCACACCAGGGAAGTAGCACTTCTTGCTGCTGCTGCGGTTTCTGTGCATGTTTTGGGGGAGAAATGCGGGGGGGTGTAATGGAACTGAGAAACCTCCCACTTTACAACTTGCTGCTTTTCCTGAATGCATTCCTCATTGACTCGCTCTGATTTAATCTTCCTGTATTTTAAGGTATTGCAATATACTTGATAAGACTAATGTGGTCTGAAGCTGAGGCATTCCCTCAAGTTGTAATTGATTGCAGATGGGGAGCTTACTTTCCTCCTGGGTTAGTCTCTGAAACATTTTCTTAAAATACTCAGCTTCTCTTGAAGGGACAGAGGATGTTTTGTGCTTCCTCATGGAATCATCAAGAAGAAAGGGCCAGGTGGTTTGGTGCTGCTGCATTTGCATAACCCTGAAAGGTGGCTTTAGCTGATGATAAATTTTGATCTAACAACTGTGACCAAATGATCAGACTCACTGTCACCTCTCTGGGGTGGACAGCCATACCAGTGCATGTGCTTACAGAGCAGCTCTCTTCCTGATGCGCCTCTCACTGCTGAAAAGAATAAACACCCACTACTCAGAGAGAGACCCAAAGCGAATGAAATCCCAGCCTGATCCCCAAAGAACAAGAAGGGCTCTGCAGCCTCCTGGGACATTCCTGTTGGAACTCTGAGAAGTTCATTACTCTGGTTTAAACAAGCAGCCCGTTTGTTTGCACAAGTGGAAGTTCAATGCAAGCAGTGTAGGGGCACAAGAAGGTAGAGGTGGCATTAAATGCACCAGGCTGCTCCGTCGCTGTCTAGAGGTGCAGATTCACAAGAGCTGGAGCCTTCAGCTTGTGATGCTGAGGTGCAGCTTCAGGACTTGGGACAGGAGGTTTGTGAACATGAACAATCCTGCTTACAGGAATAGGAAATGAGGCAGTAACTTGGTGTGCATGGGAAAAGAGGGTCAAAGCAGTGAGGAGGAGCAGTGAGCATCTTGCCAGCGCAGCCAAAGCGCATCCAGCATTTGAGGGCAGGAAAAGGCTTCTTTGCAGTAGAGGCAGGAATAAACCACCAGCATTGCAGCCAGTTCAGTTATTCACTCTGCAGGCATGGATCCTGCTCATAATTCTCTGCATAAAATGTTAAAATGAGCACCCTGACAGGAGAGCCCTGTCCTTGGGGACATGGTTTGCCAGAGCATTGCCTCTTTCTTATCATCCTGCTGCAGCTCAGGACACAGCATCAGCTGAAAAATTTCCAGGACAATGTGCCTGCAAGCTTAGTTACACAAAGCGCCTCAGCTTACCCAGTGAGGGGTTGCAAGAGAACTTCCCCTTACAACAGCCATGATGTGATCCTGGCCCAAAGCAAACCTGAGCCTGACAAGGCCTGGCTTTTCATAAACCCTGCAGCTGGGTGATATTTAGGGTGTATATACCCTAAAACCAGGAGGGTTTAGGGTGTATTTTGTTGCCTTTCCCCTGCCTGGGCAGTGGGAGTGATGTGCCTGCCTCTCTCCAGCAGCTTTGAGATATCTGCTCTGGCTTTTCTCCCCACTGCTGCTGCTGCTGGAATGCAGCTTCCTTTGCCTGATTAGCTCTGTCAGTGGGGTGAGTCCCTCTCCTGTAATCGGTAACCGGAGCTGGTGTTGAAGACATGCCTCGTCCCTCCTGCCCGCAATGCTGTCAGGCGTGGGGGGAGCAGTACCACATCCAGAGCCCTGCTAATGCTGAGAGGGACAAAAGCCCATCCTCACTGGGGAGTCCTCTTTCTCTGTGGTCCTACATTCAACCACAAAACACTTGAGAGTACTGTTGCAGATACCACTAAGATCCAGGGATCAAGTGGGAGGCCGAATTCCCTTACATGTGGCTTTCTGCTTAGAAAGAGGAGGTTTTGGCAGTGCCCAGGGTATAGAGCAGCCTAGATACTGAGCACCCAGAGGTTTATAGGTCTTGCCAGCAGCCTTGCAGTCAGTGCTGGAGCCAGATCTAGCTGTCATGTGAGAGACTGCAATTGTATCACCCAAAGTTTTATTATCCACCTCCTGTACTTAAATTCCTGTTCCACTTGTACCTTTCACAAAGATTTCCTCTTGCCATCAGATAAGGCACTTGCATGTGGTCTGAGGTGATGTTTTACATAGTTTGAGTGGCTGCTTCCCCAGTTACCATCTGTACCAAGGGACACGAGCAGGTTGTCCTGGGTGAAACCAGTTGGCTTCTCATACCATTTGATGAGGCTGAAAGACATGAAGGATGAATCAGATTGTGCTGTGATGTATCAGGCACATCAGGCTCCCTGGTGCTCCAGATAGGCTTTGAACAACAAGCCCAGCCAGATGCAAGTGAATGCATTGAGACCTGGTGTTCCCAGCGTGGCCTCTGTGCCCACAGACAGCTGCTCACTGCCTGTTGCCAGCAGCACACACACTTGGCTGCCTCCGACAGTGCTGTGCGTTCTGAGCAAGGGGCAGTGGTGCCAGATGAGACACTGCTGCATGGCAGGGGCCAGGCCCAAGACCCCCAGCTGACATGCCACATGTGGGACTGTTTCCAGCATGCTGAGGGATCCTGGCTCTCTGGCTCCAAGTGACAGGCACACACAGTCCTGCTCTCCTAGCTCCCTCTGCTCTGCACCACCATGGCTCACACTGCTGCTTTCTGAAATTCGTGCTTTTTTCCTTTTAAGAGCCAGCTTTCTTCCCAGTGCCAGTTTTCAGGTTCTGCTCTTATGCAAGGAGAAGCCAAACACTGAGTTGTTTCTGGCAGTGTCTTTTCAGTTTAGAGATGGGGTCTTCTGCATTTTCAGAGTACCAAAGAACACCAGCACAGTTTTACCACGTGTGACCTTGTTGTTCCTGGTGCTAGTGCACCCTTTGCAGCATTCAGGTAACTGCCATTGGAAACGGACTTTTTTTGAACACAGGTTCCAAGAAAAGACCTACCTGAACTTTCTGAAGCAGCTTGAACTGTTCATTCGTTTGCACTGAGGAGATGGAATTGGCTTCTAAATGCACAGGAGCAGCAAGAGAGGTATTTGCAAAATGTGCTGGAGATCTAGAAAGGGACCTTCGGTCCCTTGGACCTCTTGGTAGCATGCCGTGACCAGGGCTGTCAGAGCTACGCAGCAGATGACAGGAGAAGAACATGCACGTTGTGTTAAATGGACACAGCCAGTGCTTTGCAGGCAGATGCCCATCATTTTGCAATGGATGAACTGGGTTTGGATGCCTATGACAAAGTGCCCTCAGAGGGCTTGTTGGGCTGGTGCTTTGTTGATTTTAAGCTATTTCAGAGAGGCTCCTGCCGAGTGATTTTATCATGGTCCAGATCATATTTAGAGCTCAGCTTACCTGCTGTCTAGAGCACTGTGCTGGAGACCTGGGTTCATTTACTGGGATTCTTGTCCTGTTGGGAGGCTTTGGGGAAAGTTGCTTTTCCTTCCTGTGCCTTGGTCTCCCCAGGAAGACAAACCACTTACTGCCTTCATTAAGTGCTTTAATAATACCAGTGCAGGGGTTGATGGCAGATGCTGTGATCACGGCTATAGCCAGCTGCAGACAACACATCTGGGTGGGCTGACACTAGCTATAGCCATCACTGCTTTGAAATGCCTGCCTGGGAGTTTTGACCATTTCACCCTTCATGCTGTGTTAGTGTAACCTTTAACACGTGGTTTCCTCTTCATAGGGCTAGCAGAGGCAAGAGCTGGCCTTGATGGGGGTGGTCTTGGAGCTTTTCAGCTGCCCTATGTATTCCCCTGGCAGGGAACTGTATGTGAGTACAGCATGTCCTGCCATGGTGCTCTCTGCAAGCTCTGCTTTCCAATATACATCACCTTTAATGCTGCGCTGTTGGACTCTTGGTGCAGTGGCTTGGGAGGGCACTGTAACCAGCTACATGTGCCCAAGGTACCTGGATTTTTCACATCTCACCATGCCAGAAAAGCTTCAGTCAGCCCATGGGGAGACCTCCTGCCCCAGGTCTGACCCTGCTGGCTGTATCGGTGTTAGGTAAGAGAAGGCACTTGTTCTGCAAGGGTTCTTCTGGTCTGCAGCAGGGCCTGTCTCCTCGGCCAAAGCCACAGCCCTGCCCTAGCTGGAGTCTGCCACAGTGTGGTGGACAGGAGCATCCTTGGCCAGGATAGCTGCTGACCTCCTATCTCTCCCATTTCCTTCCAGTCCTGGACACACAACATCCAGCGGGAGAAGGAGTTCCTGAGGAAGCTGGTGAAAGCCCGAGTCATCACTGACCTAACCAGTGGGATCTGAGTGGCTTCAGCCACTGCCTCCAAGGGAGGGGACGAAGATGCACGCTGCAGCTCTAGATGCAGGCACTGGCAGCCCCCCGTAAGAATCCCACCTCACTGAAGACACACAGAGTTGCCCAGGTGCTCTGGGAAGACCCTCTCACATTGCCAGTCTGCGTGAGGGTTACATCTGCTGCCTCCAGGCCTAGAGCTGGCAGGAGGTGGGCAAGGGGCTGAGTGGGCAGTTCATGAACTCTGAATCACAGACAGATCTTCTGTGTCCTGAACTAAACAGGAGAGACTCAGGAGAGAGAAGACAGGTTTGTGAATAAAACGATTCGTGCCAAATGGGAGGCGATGCTGCCCCGAGGCAGTGATGCCTGAATGTACAAAGTATTATTTTTTAAAAGAAACTCTGCTGGAATCATATGAGAAATACCAAGGTGCAAGGCAAAGACTGCTTGTGCACAGCCCTGTGAAACACCCGGCCTCTTCATGCTCCATCTGCGTTGTCACTGGCCTCAGACCTTTCCCCAGGAAAACAAATCCATCTAAACCTTCGGTGTCGTTGGTGCTGCTATAACTCAGAGGGAGAGTATTAGCTTTCCCTCATCCTCCACGTGGAGCTTCTAGATGGAGATGAGCATGGGTTTGTTTTTCTGCACTTTTCCTTGCTTCCTGTATAGAGGCAGCGGCAGCAGCCACTTACTTGGCTGCGTTTTCCATAGCCATTTGCTCTGCCTCTGCTCTGACCCCAAGGTGGAGCCGGGAGCTGATGGCTTTCTCTGCCTGCCTCAGACCCTCCCCACCTTCCTGCTTGTCACGGCGCTGAGGAGCCTGCCTTGTTGTGCTCAAGGCTTTCAGGCCTCTTGGTTTATGCCTGCTGTGCAGGGCCCCTGTGGAGTCCATACAGATTGGTGTCACCGTTTCTGGACAGCATCTTGCTTTATTTTTGTGTGGGAGAGGAGTAATTTATTCTTTGGAAGGAGGTCAGATCTTGCACAGAGATCTGCAGCTTTACAGCTTGAGAGCAGGCTGCTGAAGAAGTTCATTTTACTTTCCAGACTTGATCATGTTCCCTGTTTAAGTGACGTGTGACCTCAGTGATGATGGAGCCTGCTGGCACGGGTGAGAGCCTGCTAGGAACCCTCACCCTCTGCTTGGCCCCTGCTCACTTCATTTCCAAGCTCCTCCCGTGCTGATCTAGCACTGCTGCTCCTCCTGCTCTCAGGAGCACATCCCTTCCTTTGCCGTCTTGGTCCCGAGATGCAGTATTTGCACATTTGATTTGTATACTTATTTCAAAGGAGCTGGAATAAACTGAGCAACGTGGCCAAGTGTAGGGACAGCGGGGTGGTCTAATCCGCATGGAGAGAGTGGGCAGAAGAGGGATTGCCAGGGGAATGGTTACAGGTGGAAATTGGCTCCTGTGCTCTTCTAGCCTGGAGCAGACTGGATTGCACCCAGGGGCATGATCCTGAGCCAAGTCCCTGTGTGCTGAGGCACCAGTGTGCAGCCACTAGTGCTGGGTCAATGGCGAGGGGAGCCCCAAGAGTGCTGGCCAGGCTCATGGTCCTGGAGCTGCATCTGGCATAGCCCAAGGATTGCAGTCTGCCTTGCTCTGAGCTGAAGGGAAAACATGGTACTAACATGGACAAGGGATGCTGAGAGTAGGGCTCGCATAGTTCCCTGTGCTGCCTGTGTTCCCACTGACTTGCAGGGACCTGTGGCTCTTTGGCTGAGACCCCAGAGGGGATGTGCAGGAGGGGCTGAGGAGCAAACTATATGGAATGGTTGGAGGCAGAGGCAGCTTTCAGGACATGGTGCTGGGTGCTGCCCACAGACCAGCATGAATGTGCCCCTCAGGAGCCTCTCCTCCATTGTGCTCCTGTAGCGAAGGAGCTTGCTCATGGGCAAGTTCTGTCCAGTTTCTGGTTGTGGCTGCTGCTTGCCTTGTAGTTTGGGAGCAGCTCAAAGATCCTGCTTCTTCCAAGCCATTGAAGACACATGCTTCCTTCTCTTTCCCCATCCCATGTCCTTTCCTGTGGCCTTCTGGCCTCCCAGCCAGCTGATCCCTGCTCTCCTTTGTACATGCCTCTTCCCAGGATGCTCTTTGAGGTTTCCAGCATTAAGAGCTGGAGTTTCCAGCGGGTTTTTGAGTATATGCTGTGGCAAATATTCCTTTGAGTATTTTCCCCCGATTTGATTTTCCTGCTGCAGGAGCTCAAGGGACTGGGTTTCCATGGCTCTTGCCAGGCAAAACTCCCTTCTCAGTTCCTGCATGTCAGCCTGAACCTGGGACCACTGTCCATAGAGTCCCTGCCAGGGGCTGCCTAGGATGGACCTGGCTGAGGTTGTGGCTGGGGAAGGGTGGGCACCCACTCTCTGCTTGGTGCTTGAACTGGGTCTTTAACAGCTGCTGTGAGAGCGCTGGGCAGTGATGGACCACCTCCATATGCTACAGTGAGCTGCCAGAGCCGATGGATCCAGCCAGGAGGAGGAGCGGAGCGAAAGGCCTGTGGTGGGCAGCACTCTGCCCCCTGGGGGAAGCACCCCCATGGAGGTTTGTGATGGCAATGATACAATTACATGTTTTATTGAGCACTTACAAAGCTATGGGACACCTTTGTCTTCCAGCTCACTGGCTCCAGGTCCAAGGAGAGCATGGCCCAGGGTGACCGGGGTGAGAAAGAAAAGGAAAGAGAGCATGTGGGGTTGTTTGGGGCACCAAGGCTCCTCTCTAAGTCACTGTCCCCTTTCACATTGGTGGGCAAGCACCCCTGCGGAGCAGCCCTGTGTCTGGGTGATGGGGTGTGCGTGCTGCAGCACCCCGGGAGCAGTGCTCAGCGCCAGGTTTCACTCCTGGATGCTGTTCCTCTGGCTGCCTCCCCGCGTGCACCTGCAGCCACCTCCTGCGCTCCGAAACGCGGCAGTCCTGCCAGCTCGGAGCGGTGCACGGGTCAGAGCAGGGTCAGTGGGACGGATGCGAGTCTTGGCCTCTCCCTCGCAGTGACTCACCTTTTCAGCTCGGAAGGGAGAGCCCAGGGGAATTCTCCACAGCCTAAATATAGAGCGGGGTTGCCTGGTGCCTCTGACGTGCTGTGGTGCAGAAAGGCCACTCGGGTGGCAGGGAACCTGCCTGGAGAGATGCTGGAGAAGCGCAGGGAGGTCAGGGAGCCAGCTCCTGCAGCAGTGTGTCGCTCCAGATGGTGCAGAGAGCAAGTGTGGGGAGCTGCAGGCCAGCCAGCATGTGCTGCTCTTGGGGGACGGGGGCTGCGAGAGAGCTGCTGCTGCGCTGACCGCAACGTGAGCACGGGCTGCTCATGCGACTGTCCCCTACAGCCCTCCCCAGTGCCCACCACCTTGGTGTAGGGCTCCCTCCGTGCTGTGACCTCAAGCTCACACATGCCAAACGGAGGCACCACGGCTAGGGAGCAGGAGGCAGTAGGGGATCCTCTGTACTCAGCATCCCTCAGCCCAGCATCCATGAGCTTCCAGAGTCTCCTTTTCCTGAGTGGGAGCAGCGGGGAGGCCCTGCCCTGCCCTGCCCTGCCAAGCTGCTTGGGAGAGGGGGAAGGTGCAGGGACAGGGCTGCCTGTACCAAACGGACACGCAGCACCTGGGATGGACAGGGACTTCCACGCTGAGCTCCACCAGCACGGTACGTGCCACCAGTCCAAGCAGTGCATCACACACAGTATTAGAGACGTGTCCTTCAGTGTGGGTGACACAGGCCAGCACCCAGCCACTCCAGGCACGGCTCCTTGTTACCCTCACAGGGACTTGCTCCAAAGCCGGTGCTGCACCAAGCTGAGATGTGAGAACTCCGTGAGTTTTTAAAATTAGGTTTAGTTTCTGCAGGTTTTTTTAATTTCCCCTCCAGGCAGGGAGGGCAAGAGTCGTGTAGGCTCCTCCACGCCGGCTTATGTCACATCAGTTCAGTCATATCACAGAAGCAATAAAGCTATCAAACAAGCTTGGCTGGCCTCTTTCTTCTGCTGCCTTTGGCCTTTGTTTAGGAGTGGCGGAGGGGTTCCCCTGCTAGGGCTGTCCCCAGCCTGATTTCACTGCTGACTCCTCCAGCACAGTGACCCCAATGCCACTGAGCTGGTGCTGGGAACAGGAGGGGGCTGTGCTCCCCACCTGAGGGGTGGGATCGGGGTTAGTGCATTGGGTCCATGTCATGCTGAGGAGCAGAGGAGTGAGGGGTGGTCATTCCCAGCCCAGGCTGCCTGCCACTGCTGCTCTCAGGGAGTCCCTGCAGCGCGGTGGCTTCCTGCTGCGGGTCACGGCAGCACTCGGGCTGGGTGCGGCCCTGCCAAGTGACCTTCTCACCACAGCGTCCAGGAAGGAAGCAGTTTAGGAAGCCAAAGGCCGAGGCTGTGAGCGGCTCCAACACCTGCCGGGTCCCAGCGGGAGGAATGTAACCACTGTGGCAAGTCCCGGCGGTGCTGCAGGGACAGTTCATGTGGGACAAGGGTGGCTGCTTCCAGGTGAGTGACCAGTGTGACAGCCCTGCCACCTCCTGAACACAAGGGGGTCCTGCCAGCACTGATGGAACACTGCAGAGGCAATGCCCAACCTTCCCCAGTGTGTGGCTGGGAGTTCCAGATCCCTCCTGGAAAGGAGATGCTGGAGCTGCTCAAAGCCTCCTTCCTGCCCTCCTCTCTTCCCAGCCCTTAAAGAGCAAAGGCCACTGCTGCCATCAGGCCTGGCCTTGGGAGGACTGTGGAGGGGAGAACACAGAGCCTCGTACCAGGGCACATGGGGACAGGTCAGCAGAGACAAGGACACTTGCTGTGGAGTGGGTGTCTCCCAAGGAGCCGCATCACTGCTGAGACAGGGACAGTGCAACGTCGGTCCATCTGCTTCACAGCTCTCCCACATGGGTTTTGTCGCATCCAGCCATGGCTGCACACAGGCACAGCAGCAGCCACGTCATGCTCAGTCCTGCCATCTGCCTGGATCGCATCATCCCCAACCCATCATGCAAGGGTGGCACCTTCAGGGACAGACACCACAGGAAGCCATGGCCCTGCCGTGGGCCCCTGCAAGGCTCATTCCAAACACTACAAGGGACACCCCTGCCCTGGGGGTACAGGAGCACAGGCTGATTACAGGCAGTACCTTAGGAAGCATCAAGGCAGCCGCTGGCAGCGGTAGCCAGGGAACACATCACCCATCTGTCTGGAGACCTGTGGGGCTGGGGACCCTGCCGGGCACCCCAGAACTGTGGGGCCCAGCACACACTCAGCATTCCCCAGGGCAGAGCCAATACTGACGGGAGCCAAAGGGGAGAGCAATGCCCAGATTCAGGCATAGAGCTGGGATGTGCCACCTCCTGCCACCATGATCTCGGTGGGACAGGGAGGAGGTGCAGCTGGCAGGCAGGACATCAGTGGAGCTGATGGCAGCAGCAGGGTCACATCTCCCAGGACAAGGGCTAGGGGCAGGACCCCTAGGTTGTCTGGTGTAGCAGCCATGAAGGGGGCACAACTGGAAGAAGACAGAGGCCTGGCTATGCACAGCCACCCCTTTCACAGGACCACGGACTCACCTGTATGGGGATGCTCTGGACATTCTCCTGCACCATGCCCCACACAGCATTATGTGCATAGCAGGTCCGGGCTGTGCCTTGGGAACACAAGGACCAGCCCAACCCACAGGGAAGGTGGGAGGGAAAAGGGTAACCCCTGGGGTGAGGCAGTACCTGGGGCTGTGTTCGGGTTGTCCATGAGGGAGGTAACACTCGCTGCCATTGGCAGCCCCTCTGTGGGCAGCGGGTCCCAGTCCCGTGGTGACAGTCAGGCAGCCTGGAGCAGGACATGCCACTCACGTGGAAACTTTCCAGGTAGGCAGCTCCATTAGTCTGCAACCCTGCAAAGCTGAGGATCCTGTTCCCTGCCCCTGGCTGATTCCCCACCACAGGGATGCCCCTGAGCCTCTAAACCTCTGCTGGCCTCCAGGGCACCATGTCTGCCAGCTCCAGTGCGGGCATCATAGATGGGAGCAGCCTCAGGCCACATCACACAGCCCATCCACGCAGTCCCGTTGCGCACATGTAGCCACCCGTGCCCACAGGCTCGTCCGA